ATGAATGTTTTGTACACATTTACCAACCCAACAATTGACTGATTAACAATAATTGAATATTAAAATGTTGAATAAAAGACTCGAGTCATTATATTGAACACATGACAAATGTTTAAACACTTCAAAGTGTGTGAATTTGTCTCACAATATCAAATTTTGAATGTGAGACAAATTCACGTTTTGTTCTTTTTTTCTTTTCTTTTCTTTCAACAAACTCAAAAATGACCAAATTTTATCTTCAATACAAGAACAACTCTCCAGTGCTTATCGATACAGACAACGGAAGAGGAACACAAGGAACTCTACCTCTGATTACTGTTTCTCATTTGATTTCAGCTTACAAGACTGCTGCCACTCTCCTCCTTGACGCTATTCCTGTTGACGAACTCACTCTTCATTTTGAGGAGTATGGTCCAGCCATTTCTCGATATGGGTTTCTAACCTCTATTCAACATCCTTTTGGTTGTTACAACAATCCACTGACTATTAAATCCAAGAATGATGTGAATGTTGACCGTCCCTATCAAAGATACTTTGTACAAAGTAAAAGTGACCAAGAATTCATCGACGCCAATAATTTGAAATTGCGAAAACCAAATGACGCTTTCAAGTATTTGATACATCATCTGGAAAATATTGTCGATGTATCAAGGCTACCAAATAACGCCGTATTTAACGACAATTGCTGGGAACACCGTCTTGATAGGAGAGTAACCAATTATCAAATTGACAATGTCGATAATATCAAACTGTTTTTTGCTGTTTCTGGTGCAGGAAAAACAAGGATGTTTCTAGAGTTGCTTTATTCAAACTTTGGGTACTACTTTGCTTGCAAGAGCTCTCAAGATGACTTTGGTTCTACTGACATGTATGAATGCCTGGTGTATTGCGACAATAACTATCAGCCTGAACTCACTCAACATGCTATCCAACTGTTGTGTTTCGTTCGGGTTTCTGTTTGCAACTACTTGATAAGCAAGGGATTCAAGGAACCTTGGCAAATTCTTCTGGCTCAACTCCATCCTATCGCATTCTTTGGGCTTGACTTGTTTGAGTGTCTTTTTACGACCCTTGTAAAAGAGCCTGGACTTTCTCCAACTGCCATTACAAACCCGTTTCCTTTTATTGCCATTGATGGAGTTCGAAATCTTGCAGGAGGTCGTCGTTTTCATTTTCAACCAGAAAGTAGAAACTTTCGTCCCTTTTTCACTCCATTGGTATACCATTCCAAAATGATGGGAATATTTCCTCATTTCCTACTGTCTGCCACCAGTATTGACTTTGAACTCATCAAAGAGCTAGTGGAGTTTAGTGCTATGAAGGATGATCAAATCACAGATTGTGTAGTTGTATCAGATTTCCATTCTCTGACAAAGCTCGAGGTCGAACAGTATGTTAGACAATTTTTACAAGACCATCAAGTCAATCAACTGGATGCTATTGTATCAAGAATTTCAGCCTTTGAATTATGTCATGGAAGACCATGTTTCATATCGTATATTCTGGGCACATATATGAAATCAAATGATATTGACGCTGCAATTAGCAAATTTATCACTGGGATATCTAATGGGGATGACCAGATTTTCCCGCTTAGATTCTTGAAAAATGACCTTGATGGAGGCATTCGTTCATTTGACAGTCATTGCTGGTGATAACCTGTCAGGACCCATTTGCTACGCATTTATTGATGCCATCTGGAAGGGAAAAATGCAACTTAAAGTAACTGGAAATGACGCTGCTACTGCAATATTTTTTTTTTTGGGATTTGTTCAGACTGTCGATGGAATTATGTCTTCCATTGAAATTCAAGAGTTGGCTGTAATCGAGTGTCTTTGCTACTTTTTGCCCTTTGCACACACTGTCAAAAGTTTATACCAAAGAATTGGCTTGTATCCTAACCCTAACCCTCAAACGGTTGGCTATTTGGTGGAATACTTGGTTGCGTTTGCTTTAGTAGCCAACTATTCTGGTTCTGATGCTGCCAATAGTATCAAGGCATCCCG